CAGCATGTGCGAAGCTGCGTGCTACGTGTCCATGAGTTAAACTATAAAGGTACGCCACAGAGCCGTCCTCGTTTGTAACAAATTCAAAAGTCTGTAAGTATATAGTCAATCATGAAATAGATAAAAAATTAAAAAATAATGGCAATTTAAGGAAATCAGCGTCGCGTGTGAGTATCACTGAAAATTATCCATTCTTATATCTTACTTGTTGTTCGATTATTGGGCTTTGCGGTAACGTGTTCATCACCCGATGCATGTGCGTGGCCACGAAAATGTGCGGACAGTCGGCCGCTCGCTCGACGAAATTGTTCAATACAGCCGCGAGCAGTGACAAGCCACTCACTTCGGATGTTCCGTTTCCAAATTCGTCTAAAATGACGATGGAGTTTGGTGTAGATGCATAAAGAGCGGAATTAATCTAAAAGATGAGAACAATTAAGTCTCCGAAAAGATTCATTAATTTAGCAATTAATTAATGTATATCGCACAAGATGTTTTTTGTGAGGCTCAATTTATAAATGCAGACGAAATCAACTCTAAATTATAATATTTCGCTGATTGAGAATATTCGGATAAATAATCATCGATTCTAATTTTTATCACGATTTTGAGAAGCTTTGTGTCTCTTGAAGAGATTATATTTATAAAAATTAAATTAATATAGAAATAAAAAAAAGGCTTAATAAATTAAAATTCAAACAATAAAATTAATAAAGGACTACAAAGCAAGTTAGATTTTAATACTAGTTGAATAATAAACATTAAGAGTCATACTAAAGTAGAGTAGGTACAAAAAGGAATATCATTCTTAAAGAGCGGACCAGTGCTTTGAAGCATTTGATTGATCAATCAGAAGAAAGAATTTTACTAACAGACCAATCAAGAATGCTTCAAAGCATTTGTATCATTAAGTGGAGCCTAAATGATGGAAGTGTTACTAAGAACATGAAATAAAAGAGATGATAAACATTTCGTTCTGCGTCGGACCATCTTATCGTATAAGTAAAAATAAAAAACACATGTATATAATTATGGTAATATATTGCTAGTAGATAACGCCTTACATATTCATTTCAATTAAAATTGGTTTTTGTATGTACACATGTTTATCTGTTTAGTTTACCTGCCGCATATCTTGCAGAAACATGCTCGTATTTAGAGCAATGCTGTCTACAGACGTCATCTGAGTCAGGATATGAGTCACTATTCCTATAGTGGCTGATTTTGCCGGCACGAAGCAGCCAATGTGAGCCATGAACACGATCAGCGCGACTTGTTTGAGATAAGTGCTCTTGCCAGAGGCATTCGGGCCGGTTAAGATTTTCACGAGGCTCTTCTCGTCTCCAGAATAAGTGTCATTCGGAACAAACGTTGTTAGAAACTCCTGCAAGGGATGTCGGCCTTGCTCTATCGCTATGATCTGTCGGTCCACCATGTTCGGTTTCACGTAATTGTATTCTCGCGCAACCACGTAAAATGCCAGCAATCTGTAACGATCGGCACAACGCGAGAAGTTTTATAAAAGAGTATATAGGTCGAAGCACAAACTTTTGCATAATTGACCAATCAGAGTTCTTTATTTTCATTCTCACATTAGAAAATGAAAAATTCTTCTAAAGAGTTCAGAGCTTTTTTTTTGTTTTAATATTAATTCTTTTTATAACAGGAAAAATCTTATTCTTGGTCAAAACGAAAATAGTTTCTTAATAATATTTATTTATAGATATTATAGATTTGCAAATACATTTTTCAGTTCTATAAACTGCGCGCTGGTTTAGTTTGTGATTGGACTTGAAACGCAATCATAAACGAAAAATAGAACTAACATTACATTGATTATCGAATACTAATATGCAAAACACTGCAAAGGGACTTATTGCAAAAAATATTATCTCAGTCAGGGAATCTGGAACTCTTGATTTTCTAAAATGCACTTACCAATTCGACTACCAAGATACGTGGAAATATTTATCAATAATCATTTGACTGAGAAAATAGGATTCTTTCTCTTATTTGATTTATTCTATATATCTGTCTGATTTTCACTTATAACTGTTTAATTCTATTAATTATAATTGTTTTATCTTTTCTTTTATTTAATTAATTATCTAATTAATTATTTTTTTTATTTTTTATTATCACCGACGTCAGTTCGCACATTTTCTTTATAGAATTCATATCTAATTCATATCTAATTAACTCACGTGTCTAATTCGGCGCACAATTGAATCGCGTTGAAGATCGACGCAGCGTGCTTATTTATATACTTTACAAGCTTCAACATAATATAACTTTCCCGCTTATTTATTCTTAGTAGTATATCTCCTATAGTTTCATCCAATTCTAAAAAACCAATTTCAATTTCAAACGGACGCAAAAAAAATTATGTATTTAAATGCACATTGTGCTGCATATAGTTTAAAGTTGTAAAAATAAGAAAATTAGAAAATAATGAAACCTTTGGCGGTGGGACTCTTATAATAACGTATGTTGTTGCTGATGAATTTGAACTCTAGGTTTTCCATGTCCACATTGTCGGCCGGTGAAGGGCTCCATCCAGTTACCGCTAAGAGATATCCGATATTCGGTATGTACACCATTTTGCAGGTTATTACCGAGGCCGGAAGATACTCTTTCATGTCTTTCTCTACCATCTGTGTCAGAGTCTCGGGCAAAGTGCTTCTTACGTGGTGTACTGTATTCGATGGCAATAATCAGAATAATGTAATACGCAATGAAAACAATCGGCAATAATATTCACCATGCAATGATAATGTAATTTTCGAAAGTTATATTATTATTCGTGTAGCACAGAAGTTTACAGCAATATTATTACAATATTGCTAGAATAATCTGTGCTGTATGGGTAACTCTGTTATTTTGTTTGGGTTTATTTTTCGGCTTAAAAAGTAGAGTATTTTCTTATTAATTTTATTAAAAAATTTTTTTCGATATTTTTTATGACTTATACCTGCTTTTTTAAGGTAGATTAACTTATTTCAATTTAACTTAATCTAATTCTTAAAATTAAGATAAATTAGGATAAATAGTAAGTTGAAATTAAAGTCAATCTGTATTGATGGAAAAAGAAAATTAGTTTGTTAATGTAAGATTTTGTTTTCTGTAAAAATTTATTTTTTATTTTTTAGATCATATAATAATTAAATTATGTGATCATCTGATAAATATGAACAAAATAGCAGGGTTCAGTAAAAAGTTCAAGATCAGCTTACGATTGTCTAAATGCGAATCCACATTTGCACGTACGATAAAATCATGTTCGGATCTTTTTACACCAAAATCCACTATGTACTCAATGAAATACTTGATATAACGTACTTCATTCGTGATATTGCTGACGATTTTGTGGAACAGCCTTACTTTCTTACAGTGTTTCTCGCATACATCGGCGATGTAAATTATAGAAGAAACCGTCTGCGACATAAAATACAAAATAGAATGTAGAACATGTGAGCGTAATAGGTAGGCAAGTAAATTATTGAGCTGCCTGATTAAAACTGGAAAACGTAATATACCTTATGCAATCGTCGCCAATCAGAAACTTTAGCTTGCTGCGCTAAATATCGATCCAGAATGACGTTAGTCAAGCGGTAAACATGTTTTAAACACGACGTTAGATTTTCCACGATACTATGGTTATCCGGATTCAAACAGAATTCGATGACTTCGAATCTTTCGTTAAGAATCTCGATATTTCGAGTGGGATGTCGCAACGTTTTCCTATAAAAGAGTCTCTGAGTAAAATACAATAACGTCACAAGTTATATAAAAGACGAGAGGATAACATGCCATAAAAATTGCGCTCCAGGTCGCGATTGGCAACGATTCAGAAGGATGAATAAGCTGCCACTTTGCTTCTTCGCTGCTGCATCGCCACACTTGAAAAGACTCGGGTGATGTCTGGCATGCACGATATTCAGCGCCTCGTAAGTGTCATCATCTATCATGACGATGTCACGTCTACGAAATCCCGTGTGTAACAAAGAAACAACTATGCGTGAATAAAACGCAATTTGTTAGAAGCATCCATCTATTATAAAGCTAGAAAGTCTTTCGGAACGGCCTATAAATATTGTAAACTGTTACAATAAATTCGGAGAAAAGTATGATCACGATTAATCTTACATTACTCACTAGATAGCAAGTTAAGAAACTATTTGCTGTCATTTCACATTTCTGACATTCCAATATTATATCTCAATTTTTATTGTTGTCTTTGATGATTTACAATTAAATTAAAAATTAATAACATTCTCTATATACATCTCTATCTTATAAAGATTGATAATATTTTATATATTTTTTAGATAAAGATAAAATTACAAAAAAAAAATTTATTATAAAAACAATTTCAATTATTATAAAAATAAAATAATAATAATAATTTAAAATTATTATATGAAATTATTATATGTATAGAAATAATTTGTGTTAAATATAATAATGTAAATAATAGTATACAGTTATCAAATTTGTAAAGTGAGGATATCTATACACTCCACGCGAGTAATAAAGAATTAATAAAAACATTCAAAAATTAATGTCTAATGAAGACTCGAGTCTTTCTTTCGTAAGACAACATTCTCCAAGGAATTATTAGCAAACTAAACTCCACAACTACCAGTGTATCGTGCCTAAAGTATTCAATCCTAGAGAAACTCACAACGTCACGCTAGACAGAGACACAAAGCCAGGCCTGCCGGAAGGATCTAATGCGATATTATTCCAATGCTGGTCGATGTAGATCAAGAGGAGACCCAGCGCGTGGATCATGACGATCGATTTGAAGTTCAACAGGCCCTGCAGAAAGATAAGCCTCTCGACGTTGTTGGCGTTCGCCGGCTCGGACCGGAGCTTGAGACATCGTACTCTGTGATAACATCTGTCGAAGCCGTGTTCCCTCTTCCGCATCACCCTCAGTGAGACCTGCGGCTCCGAGCTCAATCCCGACCTGTTCCGATCGCTCGACATTTCCGACATTACCAGGGCCTCGATTGCCGTGAGGAACTCGTCGGACGTGCCGGAGATCGTGATGACGTAGCGCGGCTGACATTGCTTGTACAGGGTTTTCGCGATGTTAAAGTGAACACCGTCGTCATAAGTATCATCCATCACGAACAATTCGGACGTGAGGATGTTGTAATACGCCGCGCCCAATTGATTGTTTGACCAGATCATCGACAAAATGATCTGCGAAGATGTAACTTATATTTATATAAGATTCACAAAATATGAATGCGAGCTGGATCTCTAAAATCTTAATTAATAATAATTAAATGCGCTAATAATGCAATTCGTATTAACGAGAATTTGTTTACTTCCGGCATGATTATGAGTTGTATTTTTTGTACAAAGAAAGCCAAGGAATATTAGTACTTGGAGAAAAAAGAATTGCGATCTTTTTAAAAAATTCCAAAATTAATTTGATACGAGCCTCATCCCTATCCGTAAAATTGTCGTTTTGCACGGTAGAGCCGTTAATGTTCTGCTGCTTTTGTGCCGCTACGCCTGATTGCGATGCTGGAATATTTATGTTGAGTTCTTCTTCATCGCTGCTACTTTCATTCAATATTGACTCAAAGTGTACTTGTCTGTAGTGAAATATACATTAATGAAATACAGTAACGATATTATTTATCATTGAATATAATCAATTATTGAAAAGCAATTCAGGAAGCAAAATTTTTTGCAACATAACTTTCCAGAGGAATATTACAGCAGATTGGCACAGACTATGTCTTTATTAACTCTTAATCGGGCAAAAAGCATTAGGTACATAATTGGACAGTTCAAGCCTCGGTAGAGTTCTATTATTTCTTAGATTAAAATAAAATGCAAATTTCAATATAGGAAATATTATAGTGAAATATTTGGCAAAGTTCATTGAATTAATAAAAAAATTAACACCACAAAACATTTGAAAATAAAAAATAAGAAAAGATTAAAATAATGTTCTAAGTTCTTGAGACCCGCTTTGCTCGATTATTCATCAACATAGTCAGCCATTATATAATAGAATCTGTCATTTCATTTAAATGATTACGAAATGACAGATTTATTCGGCTCCTGCAATCTGCCATCATATCTATTGATAGATTCATTCCGTATTCAATCGATTGTATTCTGTTATAACAGATTTTGTTTTTTTGTTGGCATTTTGCCAAGAAAATTTGTAACAAACGCAAAATTTAATTTCGAAAAATTTGGTTATTTAAATATTTACATAAAACAATGTAATTTTATCAAGAAATGAATGTAATAAGAATTTACATATTAGCTAAAGAGGAAGTCGATGGAGCAATGTTTCTCGGAAAACTTGACGAACTCATTTCTTATCTTCTCTTCAGTTTTTCAAGATGTGTGAACAAGTAGACACAGTAAAATAAATGATTGTCAATCGATCTGAAATCCACGCTTGTCGTGTCTTATTTGTCTAACTTCAAGATGATTTTAAATACGAGATCAAAGACCGCGAAAAAAAATGAAATTCAAACAAACGCCAAAAATTATACAGAAATTAAGAATTATAAATTCTCTTAATCAGACAAGAATTGAATTTTTTTTCTTTATATATTAATGTGAAAATTGTTTCGTTTGTAAAACTTCATTTAACTTAGCTGATTCACACACATAACTTCAATCTGTTGAAGAAATAGATTGAACGGGGTAAGGATAAAAGAAGAAATTCATTCCGTTAATAACAACATTATCTTTTGTTTGATTACATTACATGAGCAAATATTTGCAGTTACCTGCGGTTGTTACCTGTACATAATTACAAGATACTGCCCTAAACCTGTTGAGTAAATGTATACACCCGGTATTATTGGTATTTTTCCCCGCGACGTGTTTTTATAATTGCTTATAAAACGATACGTCGCGCATGAATAAGCTTATAATCTTTGATTCCATTTCTGTTTTTTGTTAATATACTTACGACAAAAATATAAATAGTAGATGAACGTACTGAGAGTCGTACGGAACACATTTGGTTAGGAGTTAGATCGTGTTACTTGTTACACATCATATAAAGATATTACTTGACATTAGTTTCACGTACACAGAATGCTGCGCGAAGAATGATCATCGCGTTTGCGCTATGTATGCTTGTAGAAAATAGGGAAAATTCTCGAAAAACATTCTCTATAAATCATATAAAAAAACTACTTCTTTGTAAAACGGTATAAAATCTTCGTTTAAAATTTCATAAAAATTCTTCAGCTTAATATTTAACGAACTGACGTACGCGAAATTGTTGCTCTTCTCTAAATGATCTTCGTTTTGATTCAGATATAATATAGATCAGATATAATATAGAAGAAGAATCCAAATCCAAATTAAATTTTTTAGATTCGACATTTCGCGTACGCCAGAAAATATATGAATAACATATGTCGAATTCTCTTTACACAGTTTTGTTAAGATCTACAGTATTCTTTAAAATCCGCAGTATGGCTTCTAACTTGGAATAGGCGGAGGCGGTTGGGGATTGAAAGAAATGGGTCGGTAGCTCTTCTCCCTCACAAAAGGTTGCACACCGTTCAATATGAAGCCATTCATAAGGCTTCGTTCTTGTTTGATTGGCTCCACCGGGGTCTCGTCCTCCGTGCTGATGGCTTCCTCACTGCGTGTTGGGCTAGTCGACCTGATTAATCGTTTCTTACTTTTTTTACGCTCTATTTCGACATCCCTTCGCCGTTTTTCCTACTTTGATATCAGCAGAGAACGTCACGACTCGTAACGAATTTCTCATTACAATAGCATGTAATATGAATTCAATATAAATGATAGTAATTTGTATATAAAAGTAATGTTATTGTATAAGCCATTTAAATAATCTGTTTTAAAAAATTTCAAAGATTTTACATAAATTTATAATATATTTCTGTATAACTACAAATTTATAATTTATTTAATAAATTTATAATCATAAATTTATAATAAATTTATAATCATTGATATAAAAGTCGTTATATATTTATAAAATTTTTATAGAATTTTTGGAGCCCTCCTTTTCAAAGGAAAACTACTTTCCATTCGTAGAAGTCAATATTTTACGATCGAGCACATGTGAGACGCCTCTGCTGTATTTGTCAACGCGCTGAACGCCAAGGCAAACATCTATTCTAGGCGAGTTGAGAATCTAGTAAAATATTAGCATAGTCTTTATACAGACGCAAGACTCGGAGAACGTTGGCTGGCGTTCAACGCGTCGGAAGATAAACCAAGACGCAATATAGCGGAGCGACGATCTTTTTTTCAAATGTACGTAACGCGTTCGACAATTGTGATGCGTTTACCCATTCTCGCATGATGCTTGCCACCTATGTGCCATCCTCGCCCAATACGTAGTTAGAAGCGCGATCATATTTGCTTGGCTTGGTTTAATGAAGCGTTGTTAGATGACTAGAGGTGTTAAGACTACTTACTTTACGCCCACCTTAAAACCTGCGCACGATAAAAAATCAGAAAGCCAAAAATTAATAGTCGCACGATATGCGCGAGTTCTTACCTACGGGTGCGATTAGTAGATTTCATTAATACTGTATGTTTAGCAAACATTAATACTCATATATTCATTAACTTGCAACGGAAGTGCAAGCCAAGCTGCCACATCGAATAATGACTATATTATCGGGATAATTGAGCTATAAGTTTTATCCATACTGGAACGAGCAGCAAAAAAATATTGTAAGAATTTATAAAAAATATTTAAGAATAACTTCAAAAAATTATAAATACATCGCTAGATTTATAAAAAAAACAACAAAAAATTAAGTCTTTAATGTAAATTTATAAAATGAATAAAATCATTTTAATTTTTGCTTTAAAATAGAACAATTCTGGAAATAATTATAAAGAAAATTATTATCTGTTATATTTTACCTTTTTTGGTTTGAAAAAGAATTATATATTGTTCGCGCTCACTTCAGCATACGGGATGTATAAAAAATTAGACGTCATTCAAAGCTAGAAAAACCTCCTGTTGACAGGCATTTCGCGTCGACATCGCTATTATTTCGGGAAACATTCTCAGGGGCGGGAAAATCGTTATCTCAAGCAGAAGTCGAGGGGACCAGATTGTATCGAACGTACCTAGACCGTATGGGTTTGCTCTTGCTGACGGCTTGCCTGGAATGCGGTCTCGTATTCGGTTGCGATAGCTCACTGTCGCTGCTCGCTAAGGAAGATCTCGCTGCCACAGCCCCATGAGCAAAATCTTTCCTGTTGGGTAATGCGTTAGAAGATTATTCACCATTAGCGGTTAGTCGTCTCGCAATCGCGAGCTGTTGTATGCGAGCCTAACATGGCCGCGAGCACATGAGTGAAAGTGAATTCAAAGACTCTTCGGAATGACAGACACTTTGTATATGTGTATTGCATGGTGGAGGAGACCTTTACCCTCCTTAATCCTTTTGCGTAGCCTACGTATGAAAACATCGCGTTCACTTCTCACTTTCTTCTTCTCTCTATCGAACATTTTGAATAATAAATATAAAGAATAAAACATTTTATCGAATTATTTGAATTTTCTTAAAACCAATTTTAAATAACATGTTTCCCTACTTTTTTATTAACTCAGTTTAAATAAAAATATTTTAGATCGCAAAAATTTCGATTGCAAAAAATTATTGTGCACATCTCAAATATAAATGTATATCATAAAAAAATATAGAATTATAGAAATTCAATTTTTAATTTTTGAATTTATAAAGAATTCTATATATTCTATTCTCAGTATAATTTAAATTATACTTTCGCTATTACATTTACCTGTAATTGTCGGATCTAGGTGTGGAACTGACATTCGCCGTTTTAGAAACGTTTGCGTGCGCGTCTACAAAGACGGGCGAGCTCTTGGGAATGTCACATACCACTTTAGGATGTACCGTGGTCTGCTTATATTCCAGATGCGACGACGAGTCGGTGGGCGCCCAATCGTAATACTTTGGTCGATAATCTTTGTACTCCCTCGGTTGCTGTTGCTGCTGTTGCTGTCTCGAATCCACGCTGGACGCTCTTTTACGCAAATACTCATCGCTGCTGACGCTACTCTTTCGTATAGTCGTCAATTTTGCCGGTGGAACTGACGTGGGTGACGACGCGGATGACGATGGCGCGCCGTCCGGGTCCGCACGAGATAATTGAGAACTGTCCCACACAGTAGGTAAACTATTGTAATTGAAATAGATTGTTAATAATAAATATTCCGCAAAATAATTCTAATAATTAAACAACGTCTGTCTGCATCTTAAAAAGCTCTTTAAATGACATTAAATTCTCATAAAAAACCTACTTCTTTTTCATATTTAATAAGCTTAGATAATATCTTAAACATTTTATCTATAGCTAAACACGAAACTTGATCGAAAAATTCAATGTATCTGAGAGTTCTAATTTCAAGTATAAATTTAAAAGCTTACCTCAAATTTTCATCCATGCTGTATAAGCGAAGTTGTTGCCTGATATTTGCCTTTTCTCTCGCTCGTTTTCGTTGAAATTCCTCCTCTACCTTACGCATCGCCTCCAGCTCGCCTTTCCTCTGTCTTTCCTTGGCTTCCGCCTCTCGCGATAACTTCTCCGCCAATCTGCGCCTTTCAATCTGCCGCACAGTACTTTGGAATGTGAATCTACGGCCTTTCGAGTTACTCTTTAATGGTGTCTTGATTTCTGGAGCAATCTCCTTATCATCCTGCAAATTCTGCTGGCCACCAATGGGCGAAATACTTCGTTGTTTCATCTCGGAAATGTTCTCACACGATTTGGAAAATCTATTCACTTTTTCGTTCGCAAAAGGCTTTTCTTTTAGCATGACTGATTCTTTGGGATGCTTGTTCGTTTTCTCTACATCCTTGCTCGATTTCCTGAATTCATCCACGCCGTTTTTGCGATACTTTGATCCGGAGCTGTTACCAGAATTCTTCTCGCTTTCCGCTGCCATATTGCTCCTGTAGCTCAAACTCCTTTGCGTCTGATAATGAGTGTCATTGGACTCGGGCAGGTACATTACATGACCACCGGAAGCTAAATACGAAAACGAGGGCGGTTTCATGATCACGGGAAAGTCGCCGCGATCCTCTAAGTCTTCCACTAATACTTCGTCATCATCCTCGTCGTCAAAGCTAGGCTTCCAGCCGGATGGCGAGGATCGTGTCAGATCTGTGATCTGAGTGTGCTGCAACGACGTCGGGGCACTTGTTGACAGCAGCCAGTTGTCGTCGAGGACATCGCGAGTACGTTTCCTCTCTAAGTCCAGCGGCCCGAGTCCGAGGGCGCCCGACACTGATCTCTTCAGTTTCTGCAGCGAATTGAAAGTCGAGCCCTCCTTCTTCAAATCTGGGTTATACAAATACATACGATTGTCGTCGCGCGGCAATGATAACGAGAATACATGCGCCCTGGGCGGGAATTTCACTGGGGTTGGCATCGGTGGCGGTGAATCTACCCCAGCGTCACTGCTAGACTCTTCGCCTAAGTCCTGCTGCGGAGTCCATGTCGGTCTCATCGCCGGCGTCTTCAATCGATTGTTGTTGGTGTTGGTGCTGACGTCCAACGAGTCGTCATTGACTGCACCAGCGTCTCCGGATATTCCGGAATCGCCTGATTTATCGTGCGAGCTTCGCGGACCAAGCGCAATCAGCGGCGGAGGCGGCCTCGACAAACGTTCGATACGCTCTTCGAACATCACCTAACATCAAACAATCTAATAGTTTAATCCAGAAGCGATTTAAATATTTTACATCTCTTCAATTTTATTCGTAGTTCTTGCTAACTATTTACTACTAATTGTCAAGATATTCTAATTCTTTGCGCATTTACCGGAATTTCCTCGCTCGCTGTGCTCATGGTTGGGCCAGGTGCTTCCAAAGCCGACAGTAATCTCCATGCTGCTGATGGTGAAAATCGCGGAATCTCTAGTTGTTTCTTAGGTAACGTAGGTCGCAATTTTAATGAAATGTCTTCGGTTCCACTTTTCCCCTAAAAATTGCAATTAAAAATCTTCAAATTTTTTTGTTTTTTTAAACCAAATAACGATCTTGTAATTTTATTTATAGAACATTTATAGTAATAAGAGAAACATGTTACTCACATCGTCCGTGTAATCATGACATTCGATTGATCCATTGATCTCTCTGGACTGTAACCTAGATTGGATTTGCTCCATGTGTTGATCCACGCAATTTCGGGACTCATTTGACAACGCTTCATCCATGCCAAAGTAAAAGTTCTTCGGTGCGGACTTCTCCGGCAATGGCAATCTAGAGAAATAGTCAAAAACATATCATATTTGCGTAATGATTACGAATGAAATTAGTCGCTTGTTCGTCGTCACTGGAAAACTAATTGCGTATATACACGCATCCGCGCACACGAGATAAGGAAAATAACTACCGGAATCGTTCAATGCATGCATATACATATGTGACGCGTGTGAGAGATAAATTGATCCGGGATGTAAGAGCAAACTTACACGTGCCAATTTTTCTCGCGGACGACTTCCTTGACTTCTGGTTTTCTCGCGAGCTTCTCTTTGGATTTTGCATCTTTCTTCTCCGCTGTTGCGGGAACAGGTTCGCAGGACCATCTCTTCTCATCCGATGCGCCATCAGTATTCCTAACGTCGCTCTTCCGCCGTCTACGATCGGGATCTCTCTCCTTCTCTCTCTCTTTGGCCTCGCTTGTTCGTTCAGGCGTGCTTTCCCTTCCGGAGCCCTGTCCACGAGGATCTGTAATCCTGATATAAGATCTGACCGGACTCTCCGATCTAGTTCTACCCAAGTCTGTTGTATTTTCATACTTCCGGCTCTTGGCGACACTCTTGGCTCGTTGATAATCTTCAAGAAGTTCTCTTCGGTGCTTTTCCGATGAGAACCTCTCTCCGGAGGAATGCCCCACGGCGTCCAAGCGATCTTTCAGACCTTTCCGAAGAGGTTCTTTCGAGTGCATCGCAGAGGGTTCATCGAATATCGCCGATTTCTCGACGAGTCGTCTCTTTCCGCCTGATACACCCTCCGCTTGCCTCTCCTCTAAGTAGTCCTTAGTCCTTCCGGGATCGCGGGCATTCTCTTTGCGCTCGTCATATATGCGCTCATTATGTTTATTTTCGGATCGATTACAACGATCGTTCAGTCGCCTCTCCTCGATCCTGTCTTCGATCATACGTTCCTCAAGGCAACTCTCCTCGTTCCTCGCTGATCGTTTTTCCGGCCTTTTCACTTCCTCAATCTTGGATTCTTTCGTGCACCGATCGGTATCGCTATTACGCTCCAAGTTCATCGACTCCACGGAGGACCTGCCGCCGCAGTTGAGCTTGTTGCGCACCTTCCTAGCCACCTGCATCAACTCTGCTTGGAACTCCGGACTACTCATACTCCTCTGCAGCGTATTCTTGCCGTCAAAGATACGCGAACGCCTATGTTCGTCTCGACACCAACGATCCTGATGGAGATAATTACTCTGATCGCGCCAGACGAGTCTATTCTCTTTATTGGCAACGCGGCCATCTTCACCTCGCCACCGTCGCTCGTTGTCTAATCCGCTGCCACCGTTTTCACAGCGTTCCGTGACAACATGAGTTTGCGACGACGAGGAAGAAGATAACCAATTGACCTGCGCTCTCTTCGTCTCTGCTCGCGTCTTGAAGAGGCGCGACCGCCTCGGCGGCGGTTGGATCTCTTCTTCACCGCGACAACCATTCGATCGAATCTGGCCGGATTCATTGCACCTAAGAATAACATTCCTATATCGAGACATGGATATTTTATTGACATCAAAATGTATAAAATGAAAACTTTCTGTTTCTGTTAATATAATTTATATATATAGAAAGAATGATTTTGCTGAAGTATCTATAATAAGCTAAAATTTAGCTTAACGTAGATCTGAAAATTATTTTATTATTTTATTTATTATCATTTTATTTATTATCATTTGATCTAAATGTGCTCTCTCTCTGCCTTGATTTATTTGTTATATATATGAAGAAAAACATTCCTATTATTCCATTATATTTTTCTAGACATTATATTAATTTATTTTTTTTCTTATTGTAGCATATTTATATTGATCATTATGTAATCTTTATATAATTTTTAATGACTACTGAAGAGCTCTGTGTAACTCAATTTGAAATGTGTGAATTTAATTATTAAATGTGAATTTCTACGTTTTTAAATAAATATTATATTAACATCTCATATCATTTTAATTTGTTTTATTTTATTATTTTTTGGACACTATTGTAAGCTTCAGTTATTAACTTTATTTGAAAATAAATTTACTGCACTATAAAATAATTATGTAAGACTCCCAAAATGATTTCTAGAATGTCGAAATTTTATGCATTGTTCTCATCATGCTTGAGTTTCCTACATAATTATTTTGATGATCCAATTATTTTCAAATTTGTATCTATCTAAATTTTTAGATATTTTAGCAAAATTGTTTTTTTCATGTAATCGATAAAAAAAGATTAACGTTAGCAATTTTTATCGATGTCATATGTTTAGTAAATAATTATTAGTCTTTTAAGAGAAAAAAATGTCTACAGAGTTGTTATGGAACCTTTGGAATTGCAAGCTTGTGAATTAAATAATGATAACTGAGAGAACAAAAACGGGTTATTCGTTGCAAGGCATTCATAATATTCTTACCTATAAGAATCTGGAGACGATCCGTCAATGACGCCGTTCGTCGGCGGTGCCGGTGCCTTGTATTTCTTCTTGCCCTTATACCGGCTCTCTCGTTCTCTACACTCTCGCTCGGGATAATGCCCGCTTCCGCAATGTCGGTGCTCCATCGCGTGCTGATGTTGCTGCTGCTGTTGCTTCCCGTTGCAGCGTGCAGCCTCTCGCGCCATCGGCGAGTACCGCAGATCGGGCTCGCTGCCGAATCTTTTGAGCTCTTGCATCTCGTTCTCCATACAACATCTCGATCCATTCCCGTAATAGCAGCAATGGTGTTCGATCTTACGGCTGCGTGACGCGCCGATGTTCGATGCTGAAGTGCTGCGGCTGCGAAATATTCCCTGCTGGAAGACGAGAAGGCAGGATTTTAAGAATATATGTAAGGATATATTTTAAGGATATATGTCAAAATGCAAAGCATTACCAAAAATATAACAATTTCATAGATTGTTCTGTTATAACATCTAAGTAACGTCTGTGCAAATTTGAGCACAATTTTCTTATGGTTTAAAAGTTATTTAATTTTTTGTTAATCCTTGTATAAAATTGCGTTATACAGTATTCATTTGCAGATTTATAATGAGGACGTAGTATTACGAATTAAATCAATTTTTTTATATAGGTATATTCTAATAAAACTTTAATAAACTTTAATTCGTGCAAACATTCATTAATTTTTAAAAATTATTTACACAAAACTGGAGGAAATATGATAATTATGCGCTTTATGTCATTAAAAGTCAAATAATTTGTTTTATGCAATTTTAAGGCGTATTTAAAATTTAAAATAAATTTACTGCAAAAATTTTTTTACTAGTTGGCTGATATATTTTTAGATATATTTTTTGATATATAGGATATCCTTAAATCCTGAATTGAATTTCTGATTTACTTTGCATTGTTTAACTATATTTATGACGATCTAGATTTCAATCGCTTTGAATGCGCGAAATGAATAAAATATAATATTTATGTCTGCCTCTCATAATAAAAGTTCTCATTAGCGATTATATGCATAATGAGTTAAGAGAATATTTTTATCTCTTAAGTATAATATTACATAAAGGTAGAACGGTAAAGTATAATACTTATTCTTAAAATACTGTTGATTTACGTACGTGACTTCATTTTGATGCGCGTAATAAGCGTTATAGAGAATGGAGGCACCGTGACAAAGCGGGGAGGATGAGAAACCGTCGTTTCTGTGCGATCGTCGGCACAAAGCGTTCGATGAAGGCCGTGTGATACATTTCGCGAATTCGCGGTAAAAAGGTGCTCTATAGAATAATCTTAACCGGGTTACGACACATGGCGCTCGGCCAAAAGACGAATTCACGGATGCGCATTACTTCGCATGAGAATTCTAGACGATGGAAATGCCAGTCCTCCTTCTGTCTGCGGAGACAGAAGGAGGACTGGCTAGGCACGAAATCAGAAGATTAAATTGAGGTGAATCGGAATAAAAAATTATCTTTTCGGCAATTTCGCGAAGACAAACTTTCACGCTGAAAAAATTCACAGAGTAAAAAATATTAATCTTTTCATGATTCTTATTTTTGGCTAAATACAATTTGCATCTAAGCAAACATGTGGAGCAAGAAGAGAGATGTAGATTTACTAATACATTTGTTTTTCTTCCTTATTTTTTTTCTTTATTTTTGGGATTTAATAGATAAAATTAGATGTATAAATTAGATGTACAGTGAGAAAAATTTCTGGTTGAAAATAGACGAACTAGAAGATTCTGATTATATCAATCATTTGAGCACAATTTTCTTATAGTTTAAAAGTTATTTAATTTTTTTGTCAACAATTCTAATATCTCAATTAAAATTATAATAGATTCAAAATTTTTTCATTTTCAACTAGAATTCTTATTAATACAATCAGATTCTTTTTCTAGTTATAGTTAATAAAAAATAGTTGAGGTAAAATCAAACAATGTGTTATTCACAGATGTAATACAATTTCATCTTAGAATATAAAGAAAAACGGCAAAAAATGTTATTAGCAGTTATAGAAAAATAAATGGAAACCGATTGCAATTCGAACTTAAAATCTTACTCCTAGTATTTAGGATACTATCTCGCGACTGCTCAACTACTCTCATAATTATTCACCTAAATATCATTAATTGGCTTTTAATTGTGATTCTTTTTATATTTCCTACCAATAAAATTTTTTTTGTTATAAGAATAAAGATTTTTTATTTCTCATTTTCTTCAGAACACTTCTGATGGTCCGATCCACTGCGGAGGCGCATTTATTGCTCCGGAATACTCTTCGAATCGAAACAGTACTATGTACTATGTGCATATCTTTTCGTGGAAGCGTTCTGATGAAGCAAACACTTCGTCCTCAAAGTGAATTGAAAACAAATGTGATATTTCGCAAAAATTTATTCTTTAGTCCTTTATCACAAACAAAATGACTAATAGATTATGACAAATCAAATATAATGTTACGTTTCCAACATATTGAGCAAAAATCAGCACGATTGAACTTCATGAACAATCATCCAATCTATTATTACCATCCAGTCCGTGTCTATCATTGTCTGAGAGAATGTTTGGTACTTATAACTATTTATTTTGTTGATGTATGACTAAAAAGTTATCTTATTTTTTTATTTAAAAATTGTGTTGTTCTAATTAAAATTTGGTCATTTCAAATTTTACAGTGACATAGTTTTTAAATGAAAAAATAAAAAAGTTTTCGTTAGTTAAAACAAGAAAATTAATGATTACACATATCAAACATTTTTTTATGTGCATTATTGTTATCAACAAAAATTATTACTCGCATGAGAATCTGTGATGCTTGGCGATACAAATTTCTGCTCACTCGCCAATGATGTATACAACTACAACTACAGTCGTGTGGCGGCTTGCATTTTGCGGCACATGAGGAACATGGCACGCCACGTCATCAGCGCGACTCGAAAAGCCGCCGCAAATCCTTACCTTATTAAGGTCGTGCGGAAGCGTGAGGGCCGGCGGCCTGCGGCCGCTTATGGTTCCCCCGTTGTGAATGATGCTTCCATTATTGGTGGCGCGTAGCCGCTGATTGGGCGGCTCCGGCAGGACCTTGTGTCCTGTCGACTGCTGAGGATGATGCCTCCCCAGCTCCCGAGGGAAAGACTGCGTCCACCCGCGTCCAGCAATCTCTTGCGATGGTCCGTTGGACGCGCAATATTGATGGGAGTTGCTGCCGTTGTTGCCCATTTCTATGCCGACCTGGCGTCTCTATGGTACGTACGATTCGCCATTCATCTTGCATCTGGAAGGATCAGAAAGCGCGGGACCAATTATCTAACGTGTTTGCCTGAAATCCTATTGAGAGATACTGTGAGATCTAATTGGATCCGTAAAGCTGAATGTGCCATAAATCCGCAAATTTTTATAAGAGCAATAAGAATTAACGCTGTTTCTATAAAGCATAATATGACTTTCAGAAAGATAAGCTAATCAGCTAGACAGATCAAACAGTTTGCAGGGAGTTTATAAGTAAAAGGACAATGAAGTCTATCATTATAATTCTTACGCGATGTAAGGATTAGTAATTAATTAAATAGAAATAATAAGAATAGGTAGGAAAAAATAATATTAATTAACATACTAATTGGAATAAATATATAAATTAAGTATTATCACTTATAGAAATGAGATGAGGATTCTAATAAACAAATAAATTATAATGAAGAGGGACAAAAAGAAACAAAACATAAAAAATAAATAGATGTAAATATTAATACAATTATAAGCCAGGTTTAAATACGCTGTAAGACGATCGGTTGGCCAATTAGGAGAATTAATTTACAAACCAGTTTAGGAATTTCCCTTAAACCATCTGCGTCAAAAGTGCGCTTTCGCATATCAATTCGTTGTCGCTTTGCATAAGACGATTAAGGATTTTAATTAAACGTTAATGAGAGTAATCAATTTGCAAATATGTTGCAGAATCCGTCCCTTAAATACTCTTCGGTACTACACTTTTGCATAATAACTCGTTATATTTCAACGCCTAGTACATATTTAATTAATATTATTTTCGTAAGAAATACATTTTACGAGCCAACTTCATCCATGATAGTCTCCTCACTAAAAAAACCCTTCATATGAATATATAGTGAATATATATATATAGTGTACGGAAGCGTTTTCTTCTCGGTATCAACATAAGAGAGAGAGAGAGAGAGAGAGAGAGAGAGAGAGAGAGAGAGAGAGAGAGAGCGCGCGCAAGTATAAAAGTATCATTAATTCCCTATACTAATTCATAATATTCCTTTTTATGTTCTAATAAAAAAAATACTGTTGCTTGATAACATTTTCAGACGAAGAATAACGGTTCGCGAGGCCATTGATAAACGAAGAGTGTAATGTAGCTTCGGGAAGCAAGAGGGAGAGGGCGGAAAAAGAGGAGAGTAAACGCACACGAGTTGACCGAACGATCCGAACGAACAGGCCGATTATCTTACAGTTAGACGTGGCTTAACCTCATGTCAGTCGTGTCGGGTTGAAGGAGAGAAAGAGACGGAGAGGCCATAGGGGAGAGAGAGAGAGAGGATGGTCTGGGATGCGTCTTTCTAAAGTAAGTTCTTCCATTCACCACCGGTACAAGAGCAGGTGCCCCAACCTGCACGCGACCCGTCCGTGTCGATCGACCGGTAGTACCGCTAGCCCGGGTTGAGTAAGAGCGACGCGAAAAGCGCTGGAGAAAAGTCGTCGTCGTTAAGGTAAATAGCGCAAGACGAATAAGGCAGTCTCTGTTAATGCATCTCGTATTTAACTATGTGGAAACGACATGACGGCGCGTGGAAAACTGGTTTTCCCGCATGCCTCTTCTTCTGGTTCTCGCTCTCGCTCTCTTTCTCTTCGCAATCCGATCCCTCGATCGAATCGAAAATAAAGCATTGAGATCAAATCGCGCGCGAACCTTGATGCCGGCTTAATATTCGCGAAAAATTTGCGAGGTGAAGGAGCGAAATTACGCTCGCGATTGCTCTCAAGAGGCGGATAATACTGATATCGATATCCGGCGTATATACGAAAGGCGACGATCTGAAATACAAGTTTCCATCGGTGAAAAGCTTGTATTATAGTTAAGATGAAACCGATTGATCGATAAATTGCGAAGTGCAAATGATGCCTTAGATATTCCTCGATAGCTCAGAGCTTAGGATATTGTTGCGCGAATACAAGTAGAGTTCTGCATTTTCTGAAATAGGAAGGCCTGACTTCAACACGTTTCACTTCCGCAAACAGCGGTGAAACAACGGGGACCAGATTGATCAACGGAAAAATAAAAAAAGACACCGAGTGTGTTTCTCACAGTTTCACTTCCGACAATGTGCATTCGGAAATTCACGCAACTTACAACTATTTAAACGCGGATACGTATGTGCGAAATTTTACCATAAATGGTAATAAACGCGCAATGAAATATTAACTGCGTCTAATGAAACAATTCTGTGACAATACTTGAGACATCACGATCTTTTAAATAGTTGAATTACTTATGTAATTCGTAATTATTTTGTATACATGTATAATAGAAAAAATGTCCTGCAAATTCTAATTATATGAATCAGATTCCTGGATTATCTCAAATAAAACTGTTAAATTCATAATGTCAAATTATATTCAATTCGGGTTATTTTTAATTATTTTCACCGCTCCTATTCAAGATGAGTTAATTTAATTAAATGAAGTTTAATTCAAGAAAATTATTAAATAATACTTGATTCAAATTTAATTTTACTAACAATTGTATTTACGTATACATACGTTAACAAAATATTATTGTTTTAACTTAAGAGATTGAGTCACCAGTGCGTCTTTAATATTTAACAGTGTAGAATGTGATAGATTTAACTAAAAGTGTTTGATTTATATCTTTCTGGTTGAATCTACCGAAATTCCATTATTGATTAATGAAACAATTGACTTTTTCCAATGTACTACCTAGAAGTCTGATCGAACCTAAAAATAATTGAAAGCTCTATCTATAAATATCACATGGCAGTTAATCAATTTTTTTCTTAATTATCATTTTTATCGCGAAGCACAATTGTATATGGAGAAAAATCATGACAGCACCTGAAGACATCTTGCTATTCGCTTGGAGTCATCGGCGTCGATTCTTCAGTGGATTCGCGCGCGATTGTCGTGCCGCGGCGAGAGGATTCTTCGGGGCACAAAGTGGCAAGTGATGCATGACGGATGGCGGCGGTTATGATAACTCGAGCGTAGGGTACCCGCGGGGAGAAGACGAAGGAGGAGAGAAGGGAGTAACATCAGGAGGAAAAGGAGAAGGACGAAGCAAAAGGAGGTGGAGGAGGAGGAGGAGGAGGAGGAGGAAGAGAAGGAGCGCAGGGGGCGACGAAGCGCGAAGGAACCCAGGCAGTGAGAACGAGGAACGGGAAGGCAGGGGAGAGGAGGACGTTTGCCCCCTCGCGATGATCATCGCCGAGAGTCATCGAACTTGGAAGGATAGGAAGAACGATTCTTCGTCTGCCGTCTTCTCGTTTCACGATAGCTCGGCACGAGCAAGCTAGGATATGGGATAGCAAAACAGGCAAGGCAGCTGCACAGCCCCGGCTATCTGGAGGAACTCGAATCGAACCCGGACTGTATTCCCAAGCGATATACATACGCCCACGTGTCGCGATTGTCGGCACAAATCATGCGCTTCCTGCTGCACGCGCCATGCAAAAAGCGTCCGAGCCGACAATTCCGATCCAATCGGATCGAGCGAGTCACACTAAGTAGTTTATATCTTCCTTTTTTCCTCTTTTCCGCATTTATTCGTGACGCTTGGAAACGAGATGATGTGTATCTCTGTCTCTCCTCCCCCCCCCTCTCTCTCTCTCTCTCTTTTTCGCGCGATTCACGCAATGCCGGAGTTCTGTTCAATCAACGAGAGAATCGGAAGCAGAATCACGCTCGCAACCTGTTATTAGAGATTGGATCCGGCATTTCGCAATGAAAGTATCATTCGCTGCATATAGTGTGTTTAGACTGAGATTCAAATCCACACGCAAGAGATAAAGTTTGGGAGCTTACTAGATTGGAAATGATACCAACTCGCGAGAGCCATTATTACGTTTCTAGATTTACGAAATGAAAGAGCGCGTATCTTCTATTTCAATAGCAACGTTTCATTCCGTATTACTGCCCGTCCTTCATATATGTATTTCACTTTACATAACCGCACATTTCGTCTTCCGACAACGTTTACTTAATGCTAATAATCTGTTCAATGCGCAGGTACAATTTTCCTTGACTGAAAGTAACGTAGCCACTGAACGTAGGTGGCATGTGACTTACTGTACCGTCTCCAGGATTGAACAAAATTCCATCTTAGAGAAACACTGCAATAGTGACTAAAATTATTTAAGAATAGAATCACTTATGTTTGTTTCTATTAATGTAAATAATCTTGCTTTAAATTATTTTTTTATCTTATTTCTAATTCTAGTTTCCATTTCTATAAATATAAATTAATTTTAATCTCGGTTCAATTTACTCTTCATCTTTTTCTAATTATTAGAACAAAGAAAAGAAGTTAGTTGAATCAAGATTAAAATTAAATAAAAAATAAATTCAACTGAGATTGAAGTTAATCTGCCCTTGATAGAAATGGACATTAGAAGATATAATTACGTGTACCGCGTCCGATAATAATGTCCCAGTATAATTATTGTGTACAACAATATGTATTAGGACAAGAAAACATCTATTCCGTCAATAGTATGATTAAAACTGTAATAGGTTCTCGAAACAGCAACTAAACATTTCTACAGAACAAGATTGAAATTTCAAAGTCAGATAGAACCGTCTCACTTAAACCAGTGTAACCGTGTGTTCCGTCATCCGTAGAACAGTGTCCACCCTGTATAACCGCGTGCCCCGTCTTCCGACAGGAACGTTCTATCTTGTAGAACCATGGCGGCTTCGCGGACGCTCGTAAAGAACAAAATGCCAATCCAATTTCCCGGAAGGTCTCACTCAGGCGAGTCTCTCCCTATCTCTCTTTTCCTCTCGTGTTCTCCATCTTCTCTTCGATCGGTTAAGGAATCAGGCTCTTCCTTTACTCGGGATCTCGCGGGGAGACATTCCGCCACGCGAGAACGCCCGCTGGAATTTAACCGTTGCGCCCTCGGGCTCGGGAGGGACAACCGGTACTGACTGTAGTGTGTGCGAAACAACGAGAGCTTACCCCGATAATAAAAGCCGGTCTAAATATCTCAAACGCGCCGTCGGGAGATCTCGTTGAAC